TCAATTTCTTGTGGTTATTGAACCTATTGTTCATCTAAATAAAGCAGACATGTATATGAGGCAGCTGGGCTTTAATAAATTTCTTGCTTCTGATATTAATAAAGTCTAGTTATTTTGGAATGACTTTCAATTTACTGTTAATGTGTTAGAATGGGGTCCTCAACTCTTACACATTAAAGTAAATTCTGGGAATTTTTCTGGTTATATCACATCCATTTATGGCAGCCATAATTACATCAATAGAAGGGTATTATGGGAGAAGTTAAAAGATTTTCCTAATCTGATTCAAGACCCCTGGATGGTGGGGGGACTTTAATGCCATTGCTTCTTATTCTGATCATTGTGGTCAATCTATACCTCAGTTGGTTGGCATGATGGATTTTTCTAATTGTATGGCTGATTGCAGACTCAATGACCTTCCCTTTAGTGGTACTAAGTTCACCTGGACTGGTGTCAGAGCTAATGGGAGGATTTGGAGGCGCCTAGATAGGGTCTTATTTAACAATTCTTGTTTAGATATGTTTGATCATATTCAAATTTCCCATCTTAATAAAGCTCCTTCTGATCAATCCCCAATTTTGGTTCAGCTTACTAATAAGGGGCTCACAGGTCCTAAACCTTTCAGATTTCAGAACATGTGGATTGGTCATCCTACTTTCATGGACTTTGTTGTTACTAATTGGCATTCTTATAGCTCTGGGAGGGGGATGGTTGGTTTAGTTTTCAAACTGAAGAGATTAAAACAGGATCTGAAGGTGTGGAATAAAGATATTTTTGGTAATATCTTTAATAATATTAAATCCTGTGAGCAGCAGGTGCTTGAAGCTGAAAAATGCTATGAAAATGATCCTACAGGTGTAGCTAGGTCAGACTGGTCTTTGAAGAAAGCCCTGCTTCTGACCAAATATAAATATGAAAAAAAAAATTGGAAACAGAAAGCTCATCTTAATTGGCTCAAAGATGGGGATTCAAATACTCATTTCTTTCATTCCTATGTGAAGATCAAACATAGGAAACAGCAAATCACTTCCATCCAGAATGCAGTTGGGGATACTGTTAATACCTTACCTGAAATGGGGGCTGCTGCAGTTGATTACTTCTCTAATCTTTATACTCAACAACATGTTGATAGGCCTGATGACATTTTGCAATTTATTCCAAAATTAGTGGAGGAAGAAGATAATTTAGCATTACTTACTCTTCCTAATGCTGATGAAATCAAAGATGCAATTTGGTCTCTTAATCAACATGGTGTTGCAGGTCCTGAAGGGTACGATGGAAAGTTTTTTAAAAAATGCTGGAATATTATCAGTCTTGATGTGATCAGTGCAGTGCAGGAATTCTTTCTTGGGGTTCCTATACCTAAAGGCTTTTCTAACACCCTTATTGCCTTAATCCCTAAGAAGGATAATCCCTCTTCTTTTGCTGATTTCAAACCTATTTGTCTATCTAATTTCATTAATAAGGTCTGTACTAAGGTGCTTACTAACAGGATGTCTATTCTAATGCCTAAACTGATCTCGAAGGAACAAATTGGTTTTATGAAGGGACAAGACATGGCTGATCATATTCTTATTGCTCAAGAGATGGTTCATGCTATCGATAAGAAGGTCAGGGGATCTAATGTGATTATTAAGCTTGACATGGCTAAGGCTTTTGACAGACTTTCTTGGGGTTTTTTGGCTAAGGTGATTGAGCAGTTTGGGTTTAGCAATCAGATTATTAAAATTATCCTTAATAATCTTCAGGCCACTTATCTTTCAGTTCTGGTTAATGGCTCTAGCCATGGTTTCTTTAAGCCTACCAGAGGTGTCAAGCAAGGGCATCCTTTATCCCCTTACTTGTTTATTCTGGCCTCTGAAGCTTTCTCAAGGGGGTTAAATTGGTATATCTCTAGAGGTTTAATTAAGCCTTTCTGGCTTGGAAGATATGGGAATCCTGTTTCACATCTTGGTTATGTTGATGACCTTCTCATTTTTCTTAATGGTGATTCCACATCATTTATTAATTTTCACAGATTCCTTACCTTATACCAAGATTCCTCTGGGCAGGCTGTTAATTTTGACAAAAGCTCCTTCATTTGTGGTAAACATGCTGCCTACAGAGTGCATGCTATTCATGATCTGCTAGGCATGCAAAAATCTTCTCTTCCAATGAAATATCTGGGAGCCAATCTACACAAAGGTATCAACAGGAAACATTATTGTTAGAAGATTATTCATCAATTTGATTCTAGACTTACTTCCTGGAAACAAAAAAATCTCTCTATGGGGGGAGACTTGTTTTGATTAAGCATGTTTTGGGATCCATTCCCATGCATCTTTTGGCAGTTGACATCCTGCCAAATCAGATTAAAAACATCCTAGAGAAGAAAATGGCTAACTTCCTTTGGGGATCTTCTGGTACTAGGCCTAAATATCATTGGGTTAGTTGGAAAAAACTTTGTTACCCTAAAGAAGAAGGGGTTTAGATCTCAGATCCCTGAATGATGTTGAAAGAGCTTTTTCCCTTAAACTATGGTGGAAATGGAAGACTTCTTCTTGTCTTTGGTCTGATTTTATGAAAGCAAGATATCCTAGGGATGGGGATATGAGAATCAGGATTGCAGACTCACCTATTTGGAGAAGGTTGTGCTTGATTAATGATCAGGCTGCTGCTTTAGTTGACCCTGCAAACTCTCAGATTACCTGGAAAAGCACAAATGATGGTCACTTTACTCCTAAAGCTGCTTATAATGATATCAGACACTCTTTGGGCTCTTCTTTTGCTTTTAAACAGTTATGGCATCCAAAGCAACAGCCTAAAATCAATTTATTCCAGTGGAGTCTTTTTAAAGGAGTTTTACCTATTATTGATAGGTTGGTTCGATTTAGGAAGGTTCTTCTTCCTTCTATGTGCCCATTGTGCAGGAATAATGAGGATTCTACTACTCACATCTTCTTGAAGTGTGATTTCTCCAAAGCCATTTGGTCCTATTTTGCTAAGATTATGTCCATCTATATGCCTAGCAATTGTCCTTATATTCGCAGTATATTTATGATTTGGTGGCTAGAAGCTGGTAGCAAAAATCTTATTGACCTGTTCAAGCACAATCTTCCTGGAATAATCTGTTGGAACATTTGGAAGGTTTATAGTGATCTCGTTTGGGATTCTGGTTCAGGGATGCCTAATTATGCTAATACTATTTGGCAAATTAAACTGTACACTGAGCACTGGGTTCTAAGTCTTTCAAATCAAAAGCTAGGTAAGATTGACAATATCTTATATGAAGAACAACTAATTCCTCCTGAATTTAAGCTGACTCGAAGACTATTAAAACCCATTCGTTGGATGAAACCAAATAAAGGATTGAAGTTGAATATTGATGCATCATACATACCTGATTCGGCCTCAGGTGGAGCGATTTTGAGGAACTCAAAAGGTGAAATGATATGTGCTTTCGCCTTTCCAATATATGCTTTGTCTTCTTTGGAAGCTGAGTTGAATGCAGCAATGAGAGCTACACGATGGCTGATTGATGAAGGCTTCCGAGATTTTAAAGTTGACATCAATGCAGAAGTTGCTCTTAGATTTTTCTCAGGTGGGATTAACGTTGCTAGGTTTGACGACATTGTTGATTTCAAGCAGGTTTGTTTTAGGAAAGGAATATCCTTCAGACACATATGCCGGGAAGGAAATAGGCCTCCTCATTTTCTAGCTGCCCTGCATCTGGCCCAATTCACTTCTTGGACTTCGGTTGATTCACTGCCCGGTCCAATTCGTACTGAATTTAATTTTAATTTATTTAATATTGGGAAATTTTCACAACTAAACCTAAAAGTGCAAATAATATCAACTTTTTCACGTTTAAGTTTTTTTTTCAAAAATAAACCATCTAATTTATTTTTTTCAAAAATAGACCGTGTCTACTCTACTGCAGTTTATATTCCGATCCAAAGCACGCACATTGGTCGCTTTCTACTCCGTCTTTGATCATTTCGTTTGGAAGGTCACCGCCTTTGATAAACAAATACAAACTCCAGTGTTTGTTCAATTCAACTTTTTAAATAGTAATAAAAAATACAAAATTATGAAATCGTAAAACAAAATGAAAAAATAAAACAGTGAAACTAAAATACAAAATATAATAAAAGTATAAAAAGACCTAAACTAAGAAAAAACCAAAAGTACATAATAAAAAGACGAAGATAATCAGTTCCAAATTAAGTTTAAAAAATAAAGAAAGTACTTAAACTTAATAAATCAGAAAAATCTAAAAATATGTAATGAAAACATATAAATACACAAAACAAAACAAAATGTAACAAAATTAAAATATTATCAAATTTGTAATGTATTTTTTAAAAAAGAGGTCATATATCTGGTAATTTATATAACAAAATATTACAGCTGTCAAAAGTATAAAGAAAATCCAATTTTTTACAAAATTAATAGAAAACCAAAAGGAAAATATTAAATATAAAAAAAATTGGAAGAAAGATAAGTTAAATTTTAAAATATCTAAAATCTTAAAAAAATACTCGTATAAGAAACAAAATATAAAATAAAGTGAAATATTTTAGAAAATATTAAAAATTACGAACTTAATTAGAAACTTTGAAAGAGTAAACATTTTTAAAATAAAAATTAGAAAAATCCATAAATGCAAATATATACATAGAAATTTTAAATAATCGAAAAATAAAAAATTATAAAAATCAAAAGTAAAAAATATAAACAAAATAAAAAACACTCAAAATGTTTAGACTGGTTTAGAAAAATATAAACAAATAAAAATATCCAAACTAAAAATGTGAAAAAATATAAAAACAAAATATCCAAAATCAGAAAATCTGAAAAATTAAGAAAAGTACCATGTATGAAATATGTAAATGATGGGAAAATTTGTAAAAATAATGTGAATTTTCTGATTTAATATTTTTAGTTACAAAATGTAAAGAATTATTATCACGAGGGCATGCTATTGTTTTTTTTGTTGAATGTTGTTACCTTGTCACTACAAAAGAGCATCCCATTACCGACGGACGTTTTCCAACCGATTTAGTGGTGGCAAATTTGCAACGAACTTCGGACGGAGTTCTAACGGATGACGTCGGGATTCGGTGGGAATGGCGTAGGAATTTATTTAGCCCTGCTACGGATATATCCGTCGGAAATCTGTGGGGAAGCATTTACAAATTCGTCGGGATTCCGTAGGAAAGCGGTTGGAAGTATTTGGCTTCCAGTTCGGGTGCAATCCGTCGGAACTCGGTTGCAAAGGGATTGGAAAGCTGTTTCGAATCCGTCGGAAACTCGTTGGAATTCCGTAGGGAATAGATATTTTTTAAACTCACCGACAATTATTTGGAGAAATCAATTTGAATCAAACCTTATCCCTGCGGCCCTCCTCCATTTATATTGCACTTCAATTGCCAAGATAATAGGCACCTCCCATTCATCTTCCTAAACTATTTTTTTTAAATCTTGGTTTCGTCTCTATACTTTTATAATGTATATGATAGATAGAAGTTGGATGTACGATAGATACGATCCAATTTCAAAAAATGTTTCTGCAAATTTCATGAATGGTGTTGAATGTTTTGTTGAATTCGCTCGTCTTCAACATGAATTTAGTGGCGGAGAAGAAATTCGATGTCCATGTCGGAAGTGTGGTAATCGACGATTTCATGCTATTGAGGAAGTAAAGCTTCATCTTTTTAGACATGGATTTATTGCCGGTTATGAAACGTGGACTTCTCATGGAGAATTGTTACAAGGTTCGACATTTTTGAATTCTCAAACCCCAAATGAACATACTACCGAAAATGTTCATGGAGCATATTCAGGGAGTCAAGATGAGACACCATGGGGTCAAAGAATGTTAGAAGACATTTTCGGAGGACACGTGACGATAAACTCCACAAACTACGATCCTAATTGTGGAGAACAAAGAGGAGATGAATCACCAAATGAAGATGACATATCATACTTGGCGGATCATTTTCAAAATGTTTTGCAAGCTGCAGATCAGCCTTTGTATGAAGGTTGTAATGAAGGCTCCCAATTGCAATTTGTTTCTGAAGTAATGAGTATCAAATCCGATTTTAATGTTCCACAAGATGAAGTCAATCGGTGGCTGGAATTATTTGGTCGATACTTACCCCGTGACAACACTGTTCCTAGAAATTATTATGAGACAAAAAAACTTGTGGCTGAATTAGGTCTTCCTGTGGTGAAGATTGACGCGTGTCCTAATGGGTGTATGTTGTTCTGGAAAAATGATAAAAAGTTGGAAGTGTGTACATTTTGTGGTGAGAAGCGTTACACATATGATGCATATCAGGATTGTCGGTCAAAAAGACAGAAACGAACTGCTATTTCAGTATTACGTTATCTACCTTTGACACCGAGGCTGCAAAGATTATATGCATCACGCCAAACTGCTGAGTCCGTGATATGGCATTCTACTCATGAATCAATTGGAAATTTGATGGGTCATCCTTCTGATAGTGAGGCGTGGAAACACATTGACAATTTATATCCCGACTTTGCCTCAGATCCACGTAACGTTCGATTGGGATTGTGTTCTGATGGATTTGCTGCACACGGGCAGTATGGTGCATCGTATTCATGTTGGCCAGTTATTCTCACGACGTACAACCTTCCTCCTGGTATGTGCATGAAATCTCCATACACGTTCTTATCTCTCATTATTCCTGGTCCGATGTGTCCTAAACGAAAAATTGATATTTATTTACAACCGCTTATTGATGAGTTGAAACATCTTTGGGATGAGGGTTCTAGAACGTATGACGTGGCTAAAAATGAAATGTTTTCTATGCGAGCTGTTTTAATGTGGACAATTAGTGACTTTCCTGCATACGGGATGCTATCAGGCTGGAGTACTGCTGGGATTTTAGGGTGGAGTACTGCTGACTTTCCGTTTAAGGTACTATTTATATTAAATTAGGCGGTGTGAAATGAGTTATTGATTATATATTTTTAAACAGGCTGTGCAATTGGGTAGGACACCGCTGGCTACTGAGCTTCTCAAAGACGGGTTTCAAAAAAAAGGAACTAATGAATGGAGTGGTCCACGAGCTCAAGAGATTGCGGTATAATTATATTTGTGCTGTTTTGCGCATTTTCAGTTTCAATACACGAGTATTTATATTTTTTGGCTTAGAATATAAGTATTGAGGAATATAATGTCATAATTACTTTTAGTGCATTATTATGTTTAGTCTGTGTATTTGATGTTTCCAGTTTACTTCCAGTTTATTTACAAGTAGTATTGCAATTACTTCCAGTTTAATTAAGGGAGAATTTGACTTTGCACCCCTTGTTTTGGATGATATTTGAGTTTGCACCCTATTTTTAAAATCATTAATGTATGCACCCCAATTCACTATAAAATCATTTGACTTTGCTCCCCACTCCTTCACAATTTTTGGGTTAATAGGGTGCATACATTAATGATTTTTAAAATGGGGTGCAAACTCAAATTCTCCCTTTATTTAATGTAGTACTTATTGAAATTGTGATCTTAATTAGGAAAAAGTTGCAGCAGAGGTAGACCGTAAAAAACAAGACTCCGAAGAGGGAACAAAAGTCGATGAAAATGCAGTTTTTTTGAAAGTGGTATCTCCAAAAAAAGGCAAAATATTTGGGGTGGATCCCTTTACTGCAATGGCTATGTGCAATGGTTCATTAGATACCACATCGAGTAGACAGACCCAATATGTGAAGCTTGATGATTTCAATGCTTTTAAATCGTCGATAATGGATCAAATAGGACAAATGATGGTGAGGCGGGAGATGGATTCTACTCATGGGTCGAACAACCTTTCAAATCCAAATATGACACAAGGTCTTATGTCTCAGCTTCATACCTCTATGTTTCCTACGGTTCCATCCGGGATGACTCACAATTTGCACGCACAACAGGCCCCTTATTACCCAACAATGTACCCGAATGGCTACATGTCCGGACAGCAATCTGTGCCACTTCATCCCTCTATGCCTTCTCAAGTGCCATTTGAATTCATTCCTCTACAAAACCGTAATAGCACAACTCTGGATGACACATTTCTGAGCACTATATTTGCTGCAAATGAGAGAGGAAATGAAGGAGGCCAATGAAGAAGTTATTGGAATTTGAGTTTTTGGTGGTGTTGTGTAATGAACAATTTCCTTTAATTTGTCAAACTTATGTTTTATGTTTGTTTGTGTTTTAACTATCCAGAATACTACTTTTTTATGCCATGTTTTGAGATTGTGTTCTATATTGTGTAGTTTTGTTGGTGGTGATTTTCTACAATGTTACAATACTAGCTAGCACTCAATTATAAATAAAAAGAAAAAAATTAACATCTAGTGGTCTGTTAGTACATTCATCCAGAATATGTAATTTAAATCCAATTAATTAATATGTTGAAACTAGCTAATTTTTATTAACTTTCCAACCGATTAATCGGTTGGAAACTCGTCGGTCGCCGGTGAGCTTGAAATGAAAGGTTCCTACGAACTCATCCGTTGGAACTTTCCTACAGATTTATCCGTCGGAATTCCGCTGGAACGTTTTAAAATCCGTTGGAAATGGTGGTTGGAAAATTTTCCAACCATTGTATTCCCACGGCCAATTTATGTCGGTACTTCGTTGGAAATATCATTTCCAACGTCTTTTTCGCTAAAATCCGTTGGAAAGTTCGTCGGTATTACACCCTTTTTTTGTAGTGTGTGTTTCTTTTTGTTTATAAATTTGAAATTTTTTGTTTTCTTGTTGTTGTTTATTTGTGTTTTTTGTTGTTGATTTTCATAAATCCATTTTTTTCATTAGACGGAGTAGTTGTTTATATATATGTATGCTGGTTTCTTATTTCTATGTAGTAGAAAAAATTAGTGATCAACGGAATTACTACATCTTGGTATAGGAAAAGTATGCAAATGGTAGAAGAAATGTAATGATAGTTCTGAAGTACTGATCTGATCATATATTGAATACATAAGAAGCTTTGGTTTGCATTGCTTATAAAAACGTTATATGCGATGAGATTGTAATGATAGTTCTGAACTTCTTATCATATATTGAAGATGTATTTATCATCACAAACTTGTACATATTATATTTATTTATTTTGTTTCTTTTTGTTGTATGTTGTTTCATTTTGTTTTTTTTTTTGTTTCTAGTTCTTGTATGTAGTTGCTTTTTGTTTCGTGGTGTCACTTTTCAATTTCCTTTTATTTGAGCAACTACAACACAATCTAATTAACAATGTAATACATAATGTGACAAAGAAACAAATAGAAACAAGAAGAAACATGATATAAACAAGAAACAAGAATAAACAATAAGAAACAAAAAAATTAAAGTTATAAACAAATAGAAACACATTGATATCATGTGTAATAAAAAAATAACGATGCAACAAAATGCAACATAATGCAACAAGATGCAACAAGATGCAACAAAATGCAACAAAAGAAAAAAATATTAATTACATTACGTACAAGTGTCCAATGAATTCATACTTTGTCTAATTTCTGTACATTCACGATGGGAAACTACAATAAAGTGGTGGTGGTGCCACTCCAAAAGCTAGGACCGGTGAAGGATCCAAGAGCATACTAATGGTGTTGCTACCAGTGACAAATTGACTGAGAACCTACGAGATTGGCTGATGAGTCTTGATCAAAAGTGCTCTCTTCAGATAGCTGTTTGACTTATTGTTGAAACAAGTAGAATTATACGTAGTAGGAAGCCCCTGTTTTAACTTACCTAATAACGGAAAAAAATAATAATTATGGGAGACATGGAGTAGCAATTTCAAAATCATAACGACCCTAATTTTAGTAGTATTATCATAACTCATAAATGGTTCTATATTATATAAAAATAAAAAGTAGCTTAGATGGTTTTGTATTCGCATTGGATTTAGGCTTCTTGTTCTTGCTAAGACCGCTTATTTCTCTGCAGAATCATTTAATAGTCTGTGGTCAAGAAAGTGTCAGGCTTGGCATTCAAGCAAGGTAGTAGGAGTATAAATAGGATTCGGTGGAATCAAAGTCAAGAGAAGAAATAGGTAGTCAAGTGAAGCTTGTGCTCAAACCTGGTGCTCAAACCTGGTATTTTTGTTGGATTCTCACTTAGTGAGGAGGAATCAATACAACAAAGATCTTCATTTCTATTTTTTTAAATGCTCCGCTAGGCATGAATGTAAGAAGAAAACTGATGTTGATAGCTAAGTGAATACATTCAAAGTTTTTATCAAAACTAAAGCTAACAAAATTCATAGTTCACAACATCACACTACATGCCGTTTAGTTGAGCTCACACAGAATACATTTTCAGCAGATTCATAATTATGACTTGAAATAATGATTCATGGTGGAGGACTGTTATGCATTGAGCAAGAAAATAATCTACGAACATGCAAAACAAATTTCTTGTACAGGTGGTGTCCAATAGTGATCTTGTTATGATTGGTAAAAAGAGATAAAATTGTTAGAGAAGCAACAATGGAAGCACATACAAGGGATATTAAAATAAAATATTCTTAGACAATTCCAAAGTGACTAAGACTTACAATCTAAGGAAGAGTGATTTTCTCGTGCTTGTAGTCATGCCGACTCATGCGTGTGTAGTCATGAGTAAAATTTCATCCATCTAATCTATTGAAGTAAAAGATGATGGTTTGTACTTCTGTGATGAATTTTCTCACACACTTTACTTGCAAACTTCCAACATGGATCCACTTCACAAACATTTTATATCAACATAAAAATTTATATCTATACTTCACGGCGTTCACGCTCATTCATATGTACCAAAGCATTCAAATGGTTCTGCAATCTTATTCTGGGATTGTAGAACACAAATCGTGAAATAATTGCAATATTACTAAAACTAAAAACATATTGATGAAAACAAGAAAAACGACAAAGAGATGAAGGCATTACTTGCTAGGAGTTTTAATTGCTGGTAGAGAGAATGAAAGAGGTTACTTTCTGTGGTTACGTTCTTCCCAAATTTGCAGCGGTGACGCACTTTGCTATCACGATTCGCTTCCCAAATGAGGCTTATGAATCTCTATGCCCTGGATAATCAGAGATTCCGTCGACAAGGCAGAGATGATAGAGGTGTTCGCGAATCCTTTCTTCAACTTGACCTTGACGAAAGCATTCAATCGCAACCTGTCGAAGCTGAGATGCGAACCCCTTTCGCCGGATGTGGAAGAGACAGAAGTCAAAGAGTGGGAGAAGATTAGAAGAGAGGTTTAGAGGAGGAGGTCTAAAATTGAAATAAAAATTCAAAATTGAAAATGGAGAAGTTTAGGAATGAAAAGAAAAAGTGGTACGGACATAAATGATATACGGCTTATAAAAGAAGACTGTGCGGGTAATTTCCACTTTAATATTCCTTTTATTAGATGGCTTGTTTAATTTTCAGTTGGGTCAGGTCTAGCCCCCCAATTGCTGTCTTGTTTTATTATTTTTTTTGGTCGTATTTTGAAGAAGTATGCTTCTTCTGGAGAGGTTTTGGCCTAGTCCTCCTCTCTTTTTGTACACCTAATTTATTTTAATAAAATCCGGCAAATGTTCCCCGACATTCGTCCCACTAATTTTGGTAGTTTTCCTACCGGGTTTAAAAAAAAGTAAATCGTCGTAAAAGTGCAAAACTAGGATATCAATGTTCCGTAGGAATTAAAATAAGTGAGCTGACATTACTACTCTTAAAAAAGTCAATGTCTTTATCATTAGTTAATATTACGGAGTATTATAAACATAATAATAAAACAAAATTCAACACAGACGCAATGCGTGATCGACATCAAGCCGCACCAGATCTTGTGGGTGACGACTGCCATCTCCAGCGGTGCCACTGCCGGCCACCTCATTTGTAGCAGCAGCGGTCGTTGACAGTCGCCGCCACATTCTCCAGTGCCGCCACCATGTCCTTTATCGCCGCCGCCATCCGGCGATTCCTCATTCGGTGCTTCAACGTCCTCATTCCATAAATGTCATGTCCTGTTGCGCCACCACTAACGACTATTCTAGAGGTTAATGTCCTCTCCTGCGTAGGCAAGGCAGTGGCTTATCCCTAGCTAATGATATTACCATTTATACAAAAACAATGAAATACTTCGTATGGCATTAATGTATTATGTATCAAAACGTAAATGGAACTTACGTATAAAAAATGGAACTTAATAACAAAAACATGTCAATGATATGATTAAGATGGCATAAGATGACATGGTCAAAGAAAAAAACTTGGCACTTATATATGTAAAATATGGCACTTTAGTGAAAGACTATGGCATTTTCATGTGAAATTATGAGACTATTACCGGATAAAAGTAATTGTATTTTAAACTAAAAAATGTAAAAAAAGAGAATAAATTAAAATTAAAAATCATATGAGTATCACTTTACAACTGTAGTTCCTAAATAATGTTGTTTGTAGTATTTGTTGAGAATAACAGGATCGTGCTAATATGAGAGAAAAATACTTCTATTACTTTCAAGAATAGAAATAGGAGACATACAAGCTTTAACTAAAAACTCTCAAAAACACCTCACATATCTCTCAAGGATATTCACAACTCAAACTTGATCGTGCTATGATAATCTATGATCTAATTTTCTTGATGATAGAAAGACTCTCCAAGCTCTCTATTTATAGCACCAAAACTAGGTACTAGGAAAGTGGAAGGAAAATGGGATTAAACATGGGGAAGATCGATGGTGGTTGAGGAAGTTTTCTTTTTCATTCTTGCACATGGAGGAAGCTTCATGCATGGATGTTGCTCTCAATTGAATTCTTCAGCATTTTCAGATTTAAATTATTAGTTTGAAAAGTTGTAAACAATTAATCGAAAATAACAAAAAAAATCAACACAAATATTTAGATACCACCGGCAGTTAACGTATAACAGCCCAAAAGTTTCAGATTCAAAATAGAATTTTTGTTTTATTTGGAATCTCACAATTAAATAAATAATTGGAAGAAAATAACAAAAAGTTCAAAATGAGAAGAAAACAGCTGGACGAGGATGATAGAGTTATTAGTAATAATTAATATATGAAACAAAACTAGTTGATCCTTTAAGTAATATTCAAAATATTAATATGAAATATGAATAGGAATTAATTAATATTCAAGGAAGAATATTATTAAAGGAGATGAATCCTACTATAATTAATATGAAGATGTTAACTAATTGTCATCTTAGCAACACTCCCCAACATTAATATAGAGGAAGAAAATACTACTCTAACTAATGTCAAGATTTTAACTAATTGTCATCTTAGCAACACTCCCCAATATTAATATAGAGATAGTATTAAGGAAAGAACTAATAATTAATATTCAAGGGAAGAAGTTAAGAAAATAACTCACAACTTTAATAACCAACAAGCTTTAAGAGCAACACCAAGAATGGAAGTTTAGCTCCTCATTTGGAGACTAAACATAGCTAGAAAAATATAAAGAAATGCTATTCTAAACTGGGCTTAAGAGTATGGAAGAAGGGATTGTGAAATGGGAAGGAAAAGGGGTGTATTTGTAGGTGTTTGGAGTTGGCATGGTCATTTACCCGATCGGGTTTTTCAGAAACCCGATCGGGTTTCTTGAGTAAGTGCCCGGAATCTTCATTAGTCACATCTACCCGATCGGGTTTTTGATTTACCCGATCAGGTAAAAGACAAATCTTTGCCAAATCTTCACCCTGGACGTTTAATTGCCTCCAAATCAAAATTTGATCTTCGGGTCAAGTCAAACCCGATCGGGTTTTTGATTAACCCAGTCAGGTTTTTGACTATTTTCCCAAATTTTCACTTTCCCTTGTTCCCTTGCACTTTTCTTGACCTTTCCAGGATCCTTTTGATGATCTTAACCTAGTTTAAGCTCAGAAAATCCCTAACCTATACAAATTACAAGTGACTAGGAAAAATAAAGTATTACACCAAAAGTGTGTAATTTCCCAAACAACAACAAATAAAACTAGTTAAAATTACAAACATAAACAATAACAGTTTTATACTATCAATAATTGCGCAGTAAAAATCACAATTATCTTCAAGAATTTATTTGAATGCCTTCTCAATTGAGTTGTTAGCTGAAATTTGGTATGAGTAGACTAGACTTAATGAATAAGATTCTAAAAACATTTCATCAAAAAATTCCACCGGGAACTGTCCCAAATGACGATGGTCGGACATAACCTCCTATATAAAAGTTTATTTGACCATTTTTTGTTAGTACGTGGGCTTATTTGTCCCTTTTCCCTAATAGATAAGATTGGGGGAGTAGGTGGCGTGATGGAAGGGATGCACAGAAAGAATAATAAATGTGGAAAGGGGTAAATTTGGAATTGAAGCTCCTATTCTGGGAATATCAAAAGAATAGTCCTATTTTTGCATTAATCTTATGTTTTGGTCCTACTTGAGACAATTTCTTTTATTTAATTAAGTAATGAAATGCAACAATATAAAAGTATTTGCCCTAAATAGGACTAAATTAATAGGAAAGTTCCTAAATAGAAGTTCCTAATAATTTAGTACCTGAATAGGACCTATTAATTGATTGTTCCACTTATACCCTCTCTTTTTTTCAAACCTTCCGTATTCGTGTCTTTTTCAATTATCACCTCCTTCCACAACTCTATTTCTCTCCCCTTCTCATTTCTTACACACCCCAACCAAACCTTTTTATCTTCTCTCTTCTCCCTCTACTCTGTTTCTCTTCCCCACCACACCCACCTCACCTCTCATCTACGTACAACCCCACCCCCTCTCTTCTCCATCCCCACTCCCACAAACAGAACCGATCTTCTACGCCGGCAGCATGGTTCGACTCTGGTGGCGTGGTGTGCCTCCGGCGGCGTGGTGTGACTCCGGCGGCGTGGTGCGACTCCAACGAGGTGCTGCAAATCTGGTGGCATGATGTGACTCGTTTATCCGATAAATATTTTCCATCTTCTCTTTTTCTTCCACCTTTCACCCTTCTTCTTCTTCACTTGGGTCTCTGTATTTTGTTTTTAATTTTCAAATTCAAAATGGAAAACTTTAAATATGGGTTTGAAAGTTTGGGAGTAGAAAATATGAGGTTCCACAAATTGTTTATATGAAAATTTCAGATCTGATTTTTTTATTATTATCATTCAAACGTCCAGTGATTTTAAAAAATTAAATTTGATTTTTATTTATTATAATTAAATTCTTTAATTGAAATTTTCAATTTAATGAATTTGGAACTGAAAAACCTATAGCTAATGTTTATTTTTCAAAAAATTATTTGAATACAATGTTGTTTTCATTATATTTACATGTATTGAGATGAAAAAATTATTTTAAAAATGACATGTTTTTTTAACATGTTTGGCAAATAATGACATCTTACATTTACGAAGTTGGCATTAATTTCAAAAAGTTAGCAATGTTACTTGAATATGTTAGACAAATAATGTCATATTTTATAACCATTGATGCCATGTATTTTTACAAAATGGCATTATGAATTTAACATGACATTAAATGATTTTTCACCAGATCTGAGACGGATCTGAGCTCTACCATGGTCAGATCAATGGAGGTTGGCAGCGATAATTATGCCAGAGGTTACAGATGAGGCGATGACAACGCCAGCACGCCGGTGGCGGCGGCTTCGACGCCGGTGGCGGTGGCGGTGGCGGCGACGGTGATAGTGACAGTAGAGGTTGCACTACCACTTTGTTTTGTGCGTAAGGACTGCTGGGCTTCCCATTTTGTTTTATTATTTCATTTTGTATTATTAATTAATTAATAAACTGATTTACTCATTAAAGGTAGTGGGGGCTTTGAGGGCAGTTGGGTCAGGCAACTGCCTTGGGCCTCAACTGCCAAGAGGGCCTCCAAAAAATTCTACTCCGGTATTAGTATTATGTGTTATTTGTAGACCGCCAATACATCGAGCAATAACTGCAAGCAGAAATCAGCTTCATAGTTCACGTCTGACTATCCTTCCTTCATCAAAGTTGTAGCTAATGAAGTCTTCTATCCAACACAACTTGCAAAACTGGATTTGAATCATCCAATCAAAATATATGAATAAAATGGTGGAAGATCGCATTCTGAAATCTCAACAGAGATTATTTGACTTCATCGTCTGTTTTCACCTTGCTTCTCTCATATTCTCGCAATGGTGTTTTCATATGATTTGTAGCCCTTGAAGTTGGCTTTAATATTAAACTTGAATGGTGTTCTTTAGATGTTCCTATGAAAATATATGCTTGAACGATTGATAGAACGTCATCCTGACCGCTCTTTTCAAGCCCTATTCGTCTTCTTTTTATCTCGTACCTAATTTTAGAGCTCTTTTGTCTTCAAAACTTTGTCTTTAACACCTCACTGACCTCCAATGCTCCTAATCAACTCTCAAATGCTTCTCAACTCGTCCCTATTGCTTCTCAAACGCCGGTGTCGGACTCCAATTCCCTGATTTTGACTCCAAAAATGCCAAAACTCGAACTAATGTCCGGTAAATATGACTTGAGCTTAAAATTGATACTTATGACACCTTAAAGTTAGGAAAACCTATCAAAAGTTGATCCCAACGCCCGGAAAACTTATTAAAATTTCCACATTTAGTCCCCGAGTATTATCACTTTGACACTTTTAGTCCTTCCACAATGATTTTGAGATAATAAGTGTAGGACTAAAAATGTCACTCCTATAATAGTTGAATGATCAAAAGTGTCACTTTTATGAAAGTCGAAGGCCTAAATGTGGAAATTTTCAAAGACGGGTACCAAAAGTGTCTTTCGCACAATAGTCGAAGGACTTAAAGTGGAAAAACTCAAAGTCGAGTACCAAAAGTGTCAGTGACATAATAGTCGGAGGACTAAAAGTGGAAAAAACTCAAGAAAAAATAAGTTGAGAAGAGATTTGATTATATGATCAACCATTTCGGTAGATATATTAAGTGGTTTAAATATATTAAAGTTTTAGCTAGTCCTGATTACAATGAAGTTATTACTGATTTTGCACTTCAAAAGGTGTGAATAATAGGCCAATAGGGTGTTACAAGTATAAGTTTGCCTTGTGTTTTGCATATGTTTGCATTTAAAAATTTATCCTTTTGAATATTACAAACATTATATCGTGAACTTTGAGAATGCTTTTTTTCATAAGGTGATTTTTATTCAATTTATCTGATTTTAAAAATGATTTGTACATAGTAAATATTTTTCTTCTGGAACCTCCAAAATGCTCGAACCGCCTCTGATTAAAGGTAATGGTGTCATGTCACCTGGGAGCACTACAAGCTCTTGGAGTCATATTATTGCAGTTTGTACAAGTTTTAGTCATAGTAAGGGAATTACTTCCTCCGTCTCTTTTTAGTTGCAACAGTCAACATTTTACGTTTGCCAACGCACAACTTTGACCGTCATTATATTTAATTCTGTATTAGTAAAAATAAAATAAAAATTAGATTATAAAACTTAGTAATGAAACGAATTTAACAACATTTTTCAAAAAAAATAATTCGCATACATTAATAAATAAAATGTAGTCAAAGTAAAGTACACGAATAGTGTATATATTCCAATGTTGCAATTAATGAGATACGGAGGATAGTATCTCATAATAAGCTAGCTGGGCAGTAGGCACCACCAAGTAAATTAATTACTTGCATTTTTTTATTATAGGTACGTGCGTACGTAGTAGGAGTATGTTATTAACCGAACATAGTTTGGAGGTAGCAAACAAATTAAAGCATGCATGCATGCGCGGGAGTACGTATTAAATTTAGAGGCGAGTTGGTAGGAGGGGCGGCGGTTCCCAAACAATTTGAGTAAAGGTGACATGTGAAGCGAAGGCAGGGTCGCGGTGAAGATGGAACGCCACAGCTTTGGGCAACCCCATCCACAGTTCAATCCCCCCATCTTCCGCGTCCAGTAAGAGAGCCAGATCACCCAAACTATGACCCGGCCCCAGCCACCGAGGCTTCCCCCAACCAAAGTCCATCTCCAGGAACTCAAACTTGAACCAGCTGCTCATGCTCAATACCCGCACCTCATCCCCATCGCCCTCTCCCATCCTCTCCCCTATAATCTCTGCTGCTTTCAGGTACCCCCCGCCCTCATGCAGTCTCCTCACGTACCCGTCATCCATCCTCCTGATCGACTCTCGCACCCTCCCCATCAGCGACAAAGCTGTCACTCCCGCCCCCGCCTCCCACCTCGCCGCCGTCAACTGGTTGATGTTTCCCAGGCACGTCGGAGGCAACGGCGGGACCAGCCTCCCTCTCAACTCCACCGCGTTCGTCAGAATGTGCATCTTCAGCTTCGGGTTCGCAAGTACGTTTGCCCTGATCACGGCGGCCCACACGAACGCCGACATCGCCTCCACCCGAGTCGGGCGCCTCCCGCTCACAACCAGCTCGTCTTTTATCCGCTCCACCTCTTGCTTTGAGAAAACATGCCGCTTCCCGATGTAGTTTCCACGGGCCTTTCTCCTCATCTCTGCGAAGCTGGACATCGCCGCTTGAACGTCGAACTTTATCGGAGGGAAAATCGCAGTGGGGTCCACCGCGAAGCTGTCGTGGGTGGCGGCCGCCGCTTCTCCTCGGTTGAAGCCCGCCCAGGTCCGGATGAGGCTGACTAGGGCTGCGGCATCGGCGAGACCGTGCCAGAGGCATATCGCCACCGCCGTCCCGCCGCAGAGGAACCGGTTCACCTGAACAGCTAGGATGGGCTGGGAAGGATCGAAAGTGGTTGGGTAGGGAGCGCGCGGGAAGAGCTTGCGGAGGAGGTGGACCTTGGGGTGGCGGAGGAGGTGGGCGAGGTCGGCATTGGTGACGTTTGCGCGGATGAATTGGGCGCCCTCGTCGTTGCAGTGGACGGTGAACTCGTCCTTCTGCCTGCCGGCGAGAGGGTAAAGGAGGGAGAGGGCCTTGGAGAGTGAGAGTTTGAGGCGGTCGTAGTCATGGAGGGGAGAGCTTGCGGCGTAGAAGAAGACGACGGGCGTATAGAAAGTGCTGCTAAGTTGATCAGTAAGGCAGAGCTTATACGTACGCAAGGATTCCGGGGTTGGGGAAACCGGCTTCACCTCCTCCTCCTCATATCTTTCCACTTTCAGCTCCATCATACTAGGCTACTCGCTAGTACAAAGTAAGTATTATTCATTCATACCTCAACCATCCATCCATATATATACGTACAAGTACGTACATTTTTCCACTAACCAATAGTGCAAAAAATAAAATGAATGATACGGAGTATAAAAAGAGATATTAGTCCTAAACATGACTAAATTAATCGCATGACTATCTTATTTATCTTCCCCAAATTGAACTAAAGTATTGATGGATAGTCTACCCGGGGTATATATCCGATGGGTTATTGCTGAGAATAACTTAGAGAGAAGTCAGAACAAGTAAATGTAGAGAGAGGGAATGTATTATAAATGTGGAGCGTTTTCAGCGTGGTTACAAATGGGGAAATGGGGTGCTATTTATAGTAGCAATAAATGCCGGACAGGGACACGTGTCAAGCGCCTATTGGCCTAGGGGTCACCTCAACTGGTTGGCGTTGGCAGCCGCATGTGGCCGCATTTAATGCGGCTGTTGGATGGGACGTCTGTACAGGGTACGGTGATCTGTACGCATGTGAGGCGGATATCATGTCGGGAGAGGTGCCCTCGGCTGCAGAGGACTAGCCGAGGGCTCTTAGTGCCGAGGACCCCTGAGTGTCGAGGGCTCCAGGTGCCGAGGGCTACTGTTTTCGCCGTTTTCTCCCAGTTCCTATGTTTGTTCGAAATATCCATGCTGTGATAGTTTGGAGCCTTCGGCCAGGGGGCCGAAGGCACCCCTGGTGCGTATTGCGGGCTGCTTGGTACTCTGGGCGTCGTGATTTGGGCCTGTTGGGCCTCTACTGGAGTAGTAGGAGTCTGTGGGCCGGGTGTTCCCAGGCCATATACTCCATCAGGAGTCCCTCACTCCTTTTGCCGAAAGGTATTTGAGGGAAAAGGAGTAATTTGTGCTTGCCCTTTGATGTTGTCCTGTCGTGATCTCTGAAGTTGGTGAGGAGTTGTTGCTTTTATGTCCCTGCCGAAGGCAGTCCCTCAGTTACCCACATGTCGGGACTTGAGGGCTTGCTTTGTCGTTTGTTGGAATTTCACTAATTTTGTAATTTAATGATTTTCCCGAGGGGGTCCTCCTCCAAGGCCCCAAGCCTTGAGGCACTTGTAAAGTGGTGAAAAGGAGTAGAGTGGTTGCGTTGCTGTTTGTGGGCCGAAGGCTGACGCTTTTCGTTTCATTTTGGGGGGATGCCTCGTTAAAAACCTCATTAGGAAAAACCCTGTGGGAAAAAATCCTAATGAGGGAAAAAGAGTGCACCGAATTCCCCCAACGATGAATCGAAAATGTGAAACCTTGGTCAAAAATGGAGAATAATGGTAATGCCGAAGGCTCTTCTTTTTCTGAGGGCTCATGTGTTGATTAGCCGGAGGCTCGCTGCTGATGTCCTGGGGGTGCCGAAGGGGAGCCCCTCAATCTGGGGATCGAGGGCCTGATGGATGAGGGCAGCAGTGGAGTTGTTATCGGGGGTCCACTGTTTGTTGATTAGTTGGTGATGAAGATACCCGGGGCTTCCATCACCTGTGTGCCGTAGGTTATCCGTCAATGAGGCAACTCCCCGGGGGCTACCCGATTTTACAGTGCTGAGGGGGAATCCCCGAGGGGTGCCCTGATATGAAGCCTTGGGTTTCTGAAGGAGTGATCCCGAAGGCGCCTGTTATGTGCTGTGTGGGGCACAACCCGGGGGCGTCTCTGGGTAAGTGTACCCGGAGGCTCTCCTTGATGACGTGGAGTGAAGTAGAAAACCCGGGGGCTTCCAGAATATAGCCGTTGGAAATATAGCCGTTGGAATATGTAACGTCAGGTTTATAGCCGTTGGGGGGGTACACGTGGAGTGTAGCCGTTGGCTGCTCGTGGGCGAGCGTCACCGGTTGGGTGAAACGACGGTGTGTAATGATGACGCTTGGCCGGAGGCCCAGTTTTTGGGCCCAAGCCCGGATCCTGGAGTCTATAAATACCCCATGGCCAGACCCATTTCTTCTTGTGCGATCATCTGTCTTAGCGAAGCTCTGCCGGAATTTTTTCCAGAGAGAGAGAATCACCCTCGATCACAGCAACTTTCAGAGGTCAGTTCTCCTTCCGCCCTCAGCTCCATTTGAGTATTTAGTTGTACCTTGTGCCCTTAGGTTAGGAGATAGTCCTCTAGAAAACCTTAGTTCCCCAGAGCCCTCGAGCTACAGTTAGAATGTCGTCCCAGAGTGATTCTCAGGACATCTCGAGGACCCCCTCGGTTCAGGACGAAGGCATCTCCGACATGGAGTCCAGTAGCAGTCAGCCCTCGGGTGGTGGTGATGTAGCTCTCGCCACCGAGGTGCAGAAGGATTTGGTGGCCGAGGTCGAGGCGGAGGAGTTCGAGCGAACCGCCGAGGATGAGGAGTTGGCCCTCGCCGTCCAAGTCGCTGAGGAGGAAGAGGAAAAGGAGAGGGCGAAGGTTACTGTCGCTGTTCTTCCCCCCCGGGGTTCTGGGGAAGCAAGTAGCTCGAGGCCCCTGGACCCGACGCCGTTAAGTGTGGCCCCGGGGAAGAAGAGGAAGAAGACGAAGGCTGGCCCCCAGAAGAAAGTAAAGGCCGTCGATCAAGGGGGGCCAGTTGATCTGCCGGAGGGTCACTCCTTCCTGGACACCGCTGCTCTGGAGATTAAGTCCCAAGCTGACAGGGCGGACATCTACATCACCCAGTTGCATGTAGGGCCCTCGGCCGTAGTAGTCGAGCCAGGTCCTGATGACGTGCTGTCCCGGCCCCCCGAGGGATGTATAGCCGTGCACGTGCTCTCGGTTTCAATGGGCCTCCGGTTCCCTCTCCATCCGTTCCTCCGGAAGTACCTGAGGTACACTGGCCTGGTTCCTTGTCAATTGACCCCCAATAGCCACTCATACATAGCTGGGTTCGTGAACCTGTGCAAAGTCCGGGGGGTTACACCGAGTGACGTGCACTCGTCGTTAGGTGCACTCAAAATAAATAATTATTACGACACTAATACGTAGTATAGTGTAGTAAGGTTCGTATCCACAGGGAAAGGAATACTTTTCTTTTATATGAATAGTAACAAAAGGGGGGTTTAGATTTGTTTGTTTAATAACACTAAGATAAACGACCTATATGAGTTTAATTCAATGAGATGGGGACTTGGTTTTGCTTTTATCCACTTAATGAAATGTTCGTCGATCCCGGTTATATCTTTAACTATCTTCCTCTCGAATACTCAATCGAGGAGTATATCCAGTTCATCGAGGGTAGTTATTAATAACGAGATGCGTTCATTAATAAAACTTACTATCGCGTCAATATAGAACAAGCGCCGTATATTAACTTGATAGTAGCAATAAACTTAAGATGAAAACGATTGAGATTGATAACCTCAACACAAGCGGTTTATTGGTTTAATCAATATAATTAATTCCCCTTGGCATATTAACCATGAGATGCATGCATTAATATTCCAAGTTTACTACCGTTGAAAGAACCGGATTAATAACAAGCGTATTAACCGATTGATTCTAGTAATAATTAATATGAGAAACAATACTAGTTGATACTTTAAGTAATGTTTAAGATATTAACATGAAATATGAATAGGAATTAATTAATACTCAAGGAAGAATATTAAAATATATGAATCCTACTATGATTAATATCAAGATGTTAACTAATTGTCATCTTAGTAACACTCCCCAATATTATCATAGAGGAAGAAATAGCTATTACTATAACCAATGTCAAGATGTTAACTAATTGTCATCTTAGTAACACTCCCCAACTTTGATATAGAGATAGTATTTTGAAAGAAAGAATTAATATTCAAGGAAGAAGATTAAAGAAAATAACTCACAACTTACAAATTCATTAAGCTTCAAAGTAGCAAAACCAAGATGGAAGAGTTTAGCTCCTCATTTGGAGACTAAACATGATGAAAAATATAAAGAAAGAGCTATTCTATACTGAGCTTAGATGTACAAGGGATTGGATATCTTTTTGTGAAGGAAAGGAGGTGTATTTATAGGTTTTTGGGATGGGATTCGGGTACTCGATCGGGTATATACATGGTACCCGATCGAGTATGTGTGTAACACCCGATCCGAGGTATACTCGACCGGTTTCAGGCTATTTTCTAAGTGTATACCCGATCGAGTATATATGAATACCCGGTCGAGTATGCTTAGAAAGTGGTATTCGGGCTATACTCGACCGGTTTCAGGCTATTTTCTAAGTGTATACCCGATCGAGTATATATGAATACCCGGTCGAGTATGCTTAGAAAGTGATATTCGGGCTATACTCGACCGATCTTCGTTTGCAATTTAAAGGCATACCCGATCGGATATGTCGGTCTACCCGATCGGGTATAGACATAGAATCGTGGCCAAAATCTTCCCTGCATGTTCCTTTGTCTTCGGATCTGATCCGATTTGAAGTTCCAACCTAATACCCGATCGAGTATAGCTAATACTCGACCGAGTATAGACCAAAATTCAGGATCTTCTTTTGTCTTTGAACTTTTGCACCTTCTCTTCACTTTTTGGGTTCACCAACTGTACTTTGGGTGACCAAAACCTGCTTAAGCTCAGAATATGTCTAATCTAACTTATTTACAAGAATTTAACAATCTAATCTATTACACCAAAAGTGTGTAATTTCCAAAGTAAAAGTCAAGCAAAACTAATTAAAAACATAAACATAGAAATGGAAATTACGAACGTATCACCGAGCTTGGAGTTATTCTTCCAAAGCTTTAACCTATGCCGGGGGGGCCATACTAATGCCGAGGGCTATGCAAACTTACAGCAGATAGCCCAGTTCAAACTGTTCACCGAGGCCCCTTCTTCCAACAAGGGGTGGAGAGAGCGATGGTGCTATATCAGACTGACCGACAGCCCATTCCCGAGGGAGTTGCGGAATCGCTTTCGGCGCCACGTGAAGGTCAAGAGTGCCGCCCTCGAGGAGGATGGCCGGAAGATTGCCAAGATTCCAGAGGGTCGGGATAAGAACATAACCATCAAGGAGTGCATCCTCAATGAAGACCTATATGCCCTCGGATTCCTGAGGTATCGGTTCATTGGGGAGACCGATGAGAAGTATCCCCTCTATGATAAAGCCTTCGTGGGAGCAGGAGGTAGTGGCCGAGGGCTTTAGGTTTTTGTACTTAGAGATTTTTTTTTGTCATGTTTGTCGTCGTGTCTCTGACCCCTCGGTTCTAACCTTTTAACTTGTTGTTGTCGTTCTTTGCAGGTAGCAAGATGAATGCCAACGCCCTGTTCGCAAAGAGGAAGGGCAAGACCCAGGCAAAGGAGAAGGGGCCCTCGGGCCAGAAGCCAGCCGACGCGTTTTTCCCGAAGGTCGTAGAGCCTTCCGCTGGGGACGTCCGTGCTGTTGTGGGGACCGGGGGGTCGAAGGCCGAGGCGGCCGCGAAGAAGAAGAGGAGTGATAAGGGGGTGGAGCCCCCTACCAAGAAGCAGAAAGCCGCCGGGGGCGCTGTCGAGGGGGCGGCCCCCCTCATAGTTATTGATGACATGCCCGCCGCTGATGGGCCTCTGGCCTCGGTCACTCCGAAGGCTCTGGTGAATCCCCCCCGGAGGAATTATCCCGGGAGATCCGTCAACTCTCCTTTTCCCCTGGTGCTTCACTGATGCACGGCACTGCCGAGCCGAGGGCCTTCCTACGGGGCATCACCTCGAAGATGGACAGAGAAGTCTTCGAGACATACGACGACGATGCCCTCGAGAACAGGATCCTCCGGTCCTCTCTTACTGTAAGTATCTGCTTCCTGTTTCCTTCCCTTATCAATTTAGTATTTTCTTTCTGGGGAATAATCTAACTCCTTTGATCATTGCTTACAGGCCTGCATAGCCCTCGGGGAACAGGCCCGGAGGCGTGAGGAACGGCGCCTTCACGAGGCCGAGCAAGACAAGAAGATGGATGGGCTGGTTCGCAAGAACTCCGAGGCGATGAAGCATGCTGCGCAGCTGGAGGAGGCCCTCCGGGAGGCGAAGGCGGCGGCGGAGAAAGCCAAGGCTGATGGCATAGCCGAAGGCAAGGCAGAGGCCGAGAGGGCTGCTGCCGAGGCGGCGAAGAAAGCTGCCGATGAAGCCCAAACCGCCAAGGAGGGAGCTGTGGCCGAGGCCCGAGGGGAGGCAGTTGTTGAGTTCCTCGCCGAGGGCTGGAGGACCGAGGGCCACAAGGAGTGGGTGGCCTCCGTGGTGGCAGCCTCGGTGGATGCTTGGGTAGAAGGCCCCGGGGTTGACTGGCTGACAGATAGGGGCGACGCCTACTACCAGGGGGTGAGTTCTTTACCCAGCACCTGATTTACCGGAGGCTCGCCAAGCACTTTGGCGTGTCCCTCGACCAATTCGACCCTTCAGCATACAGCCTCCCTCCATTGCAACCAGATGTGAGAGTTCCCCTCCCCTCGGGTGAAGAGCGGCCGACAATATACGATTCTGTGATGATGGGGGGTGATGGGGGCGGAGCCGTCGGTGGTGATGCTGCTGCGGAAGAAGTCTCCTCCAAGGCCGCCGTAGAAGATGCCCCCGGAGATAATGATGCTGAAGTCACAGAGAAGATCTGTACTTAGTCAATCTTTGAAAAATCTTTGTAATGAACATTTGTCACCCCTCGGCTTTGGCCATACTCTGTAACAAATACATTTGAATCCCTTCTTTTTGTTGGATGAATGATTGCCTTCGGGCTTTGTATATATGGCTTGTTTTCTCTAATTCCTTTCTTCTTGAATGTATGCCTTCGTTTCGTTTTGGATGTATGTCTTTGCTCTTTTGAATGTATATTTTAGGACTTAGAATATTTTCTGGTTGTAGCTTGCCCTTGGAAGCCTTCGGTAGTTGGGCACCCTCGGTTGGATATACAACCGAGGGTTCAGCAATAATTAGGACTTAGAAATTTTTTCTAAGTGTAGCACACCATAGGGCCTTCGGGTGTTTGTAGTTCAATTGTTGTGTGGTGATTTGGTTGAGAACCCAATTCCCGGGACTTAGAAAAACTTCTAGGTGTAGTTTTGCCCTCGGATGCCCTCGGCTGGCAGCCTCCTTCTTGATGTGTGAATATTGGACCGAGGGCCCAATGTACAGGACTTAGAAATTTTTTGCAAGTGTAGCATGTCATGTGGCCTTCGGCTACTGTGAAGCCCCAACTGAAATGTTGATTAGGCCGGGGGCCAATTCTTTAGGACTTAGAAAATTTTCCTCAGTGTTGATTCCTTGTGTACTGTAGCCTTTGATTGATAGGTAGCCTTCGGCTATTGGGTCCCTTTATAAGTTGAGGGTGAAATATGTAGGACTTAGAAAGATTTCTAAGTGCAGATTTTCCCTTGGGAGCCTTCGGGAGATGGCATCCCTTCTTGATGTATGGGTAGTAGACCGGGGGAAAAACATGTAGGACTTAGAAAATTTTCTAAGTGTAGATTTTCCCTTGGTTGTAATATTGGTTGGGCCGGGGGCCCAATCTTTAGGACTTAGAATTTTTTCCCTAAGTGCTGCTTCCTTGTATCGCATTCGGGGTGATAGGTGCCCTCTGACTCTGCATCACTCTTGCGAGATGCCCGGGGGCTACTCATTTAGGACTTAGAATATTTTCTAAGCGTAAATTGATGTTGAGCTTCCGGATGTAGATCCCTCCAGGTATATGAATAGGACCCTTCGGGTGATCGTGAGACCCTTGTGTTGTATGAGTATTTGACCGAGGGCCAAATATGTGTAATAGATGCCTTCGGTTGTCGGATGATATATTAGCCTCCGGTTGTTGTCATTTTCCAAAAGTGTGGACTTAGGAAAAGTGTGGAATCATGTTGTTGTGTGCCCTCGGCATATACTTGAAAAGTTGTAGAGTTTGACTTAGCCAGTTGTGTCCCTTGTCATGGGGTAGGGTGCCCTTGGTATTTGTTTGAATCACCGTTTAGTAGACTTTGGATAGTCCAGTCCCTTCGTATTGTTGAAGCCTTCGGTGCTTGTGTGACCGGAGGTGACCAGGCAGTGGACTTAGCCGTTTCTTGATGATATTTGTTTGAGTAGTATCCTTCGGGAAATAGGAGCCTTCAATTACCGGAGGTGTTCCCGTGGGGAGCCCTCGGCATGTTGTGATCTGTTGGAGTGTACTCTTTGATTTCTCGCTGAGTCTACTCCCCCTCACCCCCCCTTTTTTTTGGTTGGTGGTGAAGGGGAGGCATCAAGAAACTTGGTTTTTGGTAAGGCTGGGCCTATTAGGAGACCATCAGAATACACCAATGGCTCTCCTCCCTCGGGTTAACCTTCCGAGTTCCGAGGGATCGAGGGTCGTTTCCTGGGCACAAGATATGGTGGTCTGTAACCTGCCTCCCCCTGGGGGATGGCGCGGAAAGCGCCTCATTTTTGAAAGTCGTCCCCTCGGCGCTAGACATAGTCCGTGGCCTGCCACACCCTTGGGGTGGTGGCGCGGGGAGCGTTTCGGTTTGGAAGTCGAATCCTGGGCATTTCTCGTGCCTGTCATACCCTTGGGGTGATGACGCGGATAACGTTCCATTTTTGAAAGTCGAATCCTAGGCATTTCTCATGTCTGCCATACCCTGGGGGTAGTGACGCGGAAAGCGTTTCAAGGAAGGGTTTTCATTTGCACACTAGTTGCAAATGGACGGGGGCACTACGTGCCGCCGGCACCGATGGTGGCGCCTTCGGTATATGCGTCCTCGTGGGGTACGGCTTTTAGAAACAACACTTGGTGTTAGTTTCGATGTGTAGCCCCCGGTACTTGGTACCGAGGGGTCTTCTGTAGGAACACTTGGTGTTCTTCTTTGTTGTAGTGGATGGAGGTGTCTACCCTCGGTACTTGGTACCGAAGGGTCTTCAAATGAAACACTTGGTGGTTTGATCGGAGTGTTCGCTCTCGGCGCTTGGTGCCGGAGGGCCCTCGGAGGAAACACTTGGTGTTTCCCAACAGATGTTTGGAAGTTGATAGGAGAGCATATCCCTGGCACTGGGTGCCGAGGGGTCTTCTTTGAAACATTTGGTGTTTTTTCTTCGTTTTGATGTTGATGATGGAGGTGTACCCTCGGCACTGGGTGCCGAAGGGTCTTCTGTAGGAACACTTGGTGTTCTTATCTTTTCTTTTTTGATGTTGAAGGTGGGGATGTACCCTCGGCACTGGGTGCCGAAGGGAAATAAAACACATGGCGTCCCTTGTTGTTGGTGACGGGAGTTCCCACCCTTGGTACGTGGTACCGAGGGGTCTTGTTCGAAAACACATGGTGTTCTCCTGTTGTTGTAGGTGTTGATGGTGTCCGCCCTCGGCACTTGGTGCCGGAGGGGGTTCTTCTTGTGGTGAGGCCTGGGGCCTGTAGTCAGTATGAGGGCGTGGTGTCTTGAATGTGTCTTCATTCCTCAAAAGTGGGGGCCTTGGGCGATAGGATAGTACATTCATTAGTTATGAGGGCTTGGCCGCTCTTACATTATTGGTAAAATTTAACTAAATGGTGTACATTCCAGTGTCTAGGGACCTCTTTCCCGTTGGGGCGTTTAAGCTTGTAAGTCCCAGGTTTGATGATGGCTGCTATGATGTAGGGGCCTTCGAATTTTGGTGCCATTTTTCCTCCCTCGGTTGGTTGGCTGGCTTCCCTCCTCCGAAGGACATAGTCCCCCACTTGGAATTCTCTGGTGCGAACTTTGGCGTTGATGTAGCTTTTGACTTGCCTTCGGTAATTTTCTGCCCGGATGAAGGCCTGCTCCCGGCGTTCTGAAATGAGGTGGAGGTCGAGGGCCAGGTTGCTGTCGTTGACCTCGGGGTCATATTGGATCACCCTTCGGGTGGGAAGGGTGACTTCTGTAGGAGCTTTGGCTTCAAAACCGTAGCAGAGGGAGAAGGGTGTTTCACTTGTTGCTCGCCGAGGGGTGGTGCGGTAGGCCCACAGGATGTTGTGGAGTTCTTCCACCCAGCCACCGCCCTCGGCCTCCAGCTTCTTTTTGAGGCCCTCGAACAAGGTCCGGTTGGCATTCTCTACTTTCCTGTTGCCTTGAGGGTAGGCAACGGAGGAGAAGGTGTGTTTGATGCCCCATGCCTCCAGAAGGGCACAGAAGGGGGGCTGCTTCAAATTGTGTCCCATTGTCGGAGATGATCTGCTGGGGGACGCCAAACCTTGTGAGGATGTTCTTGAGGACAAAATGACGGCACTTCGCCTATGTGATACTAGCGAGGGGCTCAGCCTCCACCCACCTGGTAAACTAGTCGATGGCCACAATGATGTACCTGTTGTTGGAGGTACCCCTCGGCAGAGGGCCCACAAGGTCTATCCCCCATCGAGAAAAAGGGACAGATGTGCTGATGGGGGCATAGTTGACCGCTGGCCTGCCGGGGGCTTTCTGGAAATGTTGACATGTGGTGCACCTCCGGGCAAGGTCGGCACAATCTCTAGCCATGGTTGGCCAGAAGTAGCCCTGGAGAATGAGCCTTCGGGACATGGAGAAGGGTCCCTGGTGAGCTGAGCAAGTGCCACTGTGTACTTCCTCCATTGCGATCTCGGCTTCATCTTGATGAAGGCACCGAAGTAGCGTGCCATTGTAAGATCGTTTGTAGAGCCTTCCATCTTCGATGGTGTAGCTAGGAGCCCTCAGCTTTGCCAGTTTAGCGCGGGTCTCATTCTCGGGTAGCTGCCCTGTGGAGATGAAGGCGGTGATATCTGAGATCCAATCCTCTTGGCGTTGCTATATGTTCATAATGGGGCTTGCATGGATACTTGAGAGGCTGAGTTCCTCAATTTTGGCAATTTTGGAGATGTGCTCGGGGGAGTCGGCCGAGAGCTTAGATAATATGTCGGCCTCGGAGTTCTGAGCCCTTGGTATCTGAGTGAGAGAGTGTGTCTCAAACACCTTAAGCAACTCCTTGGCCGCTTCCTTGTACTGTTTCATTCTTCCCTCCTTGGCCTCACATTCCTCGGAGATTTGGCCAACGACCAACTTGGAGTCGCATTTGATGTGGATCTGCCGAGCCCTCAGGTTGGCAGCCAACCGAAGGCCACATAGGAGGGCTTCATATTCGGCCTCGTTGTTTGATACTTTGAAGGAGAAGCGAATTGCATAGTAGGCTCTGAAGCCCTCGGGAGTAATGAGAACTACCCCTCCCCCACATGCTTTGGTCGCGGAGGAGCCGTCGGTGTAGAGGGTCCACCAGTCGTCCGAAGTAGCCGAGAGCTCCCCGTCCGTGGTTGCCCTTGCGGTACATTCCATTACAAAGTCCGCCAGGGCTTGGCCCTTGATGGAAGGCCTTGGACGGATGTCAATGTTGTACTGGCTCAAGAAGATAGCCCATTTCACCATGCGGGAGGAGCTGGTGGGGCTCCTCATGAGAGCGCCGAGGGGTTGATGAGTGAGGACCTGAACCGGGTGAGCCTGAAAGTAGTGGCCCAACTTCTTTACGGTCCAAACGATGGCTAACACCGTTTTTTCCACAGGAGAGTACCTAAGCTCGGCCTCCCTTAGGGTCTTGCTAACGTAGAAGATGGCGTGTTGGATGCCGTCTTCCTCCCGGATGAGCACAGAGCTGATGGCCGCCGGGCTGACCCCAAGGTAGAGATAGAGGGTCTCCCCTACCTTTGGTTTTGAGAGCACAGGGGGTGAAGATAGATATCGCTTGAGTTCGTCGAAAGCCTCCTGGCATTCCGGAGTCCATAGAAAGCCAGCCGTCTTCCTCATGATCTGGAAGAAGGGTAGA